GCAGTGGGGAAGGTGCCCTTTTGCATTTCGACGGGGGCCACGGGCCTGGCGGCAAGTCATGAGGCAGCGCTGCCCAAGACGCACGGGGAAACATCGAGGAAGAAGATGAGGCTAACCGCCGAGATTTGGCCAAACTTATGCGGGTGACCATGGGGGCCCTGGCGTCTCTGGTTGCGGCCTTGTGTCTGTTCCGTCGGGCCAAGCTCCGCGTCCGCTTTAGCAGATCTCACGTTCGAGATCGAAGCGCGAGGAATGCCGTGAGTGAACGAAGAGAGGGGGGTCATCAATGAGTGGTGACTGACAAGGTGCCAAATTATCGTGTCCTTTGCGTTCGAGCATGTGGGTGCGGACGGGTGCAAGCTCGTGGCGGGCTCGGCTGAGAGTGTGGTTGAGTTGCGATCCTTCTGAGATGGGGTGGTGCTCTTGGCAACAATGGTGCGCGACGGCAGCGATAATGCCTATCAGCGGATATCTGTGCATCGATGCCGGCTTGCTGAATCCGCCGCTTCGTTGGATGCGTGCGGAGACTCAGTCAGCCTTCCCGCAAAGAGTGAGAAGGGTTTTGGTCCGGGTCGCGTTGCCGCGAGGTTCCTGACGCATTTCAGAGTGGAGCCCGCAAGAAGGATATGATGGAGGAGAACAGTGGCCCGCCATATAAATGTGATGCGTGGTCCCAGGCTCATTGCCGATTGAGGCGCAGGCGTCCAGCTCCTTGCCAATTACAGGTCGGCGCAGTGAATGCTGGGCCCAAGAACCCTGCTTTGGCGGGTGGATCAGTCCCGCCGAATTTCCAGACGACAGGGGTCTACTACGCATGGCACTATTCGAGTTTTCCGTGCCCGTCTTCCATGCAGCATGCGCGATTTTGGGAATTTGTGGCGTCCAGCGCCAGGATGGCGAGCAGTTGAAAGCGCGTGACAGCTTGTGGGAGACGCTCGCAAGGGTGTTGGCAAGGGTGTCTGGAGGGCTCGCAATCTTGAGCAAGCAGCTTCGAAGGAGCTCCAGTTGCGCTGCGAATGAGCTACGAGCAAGCTTGCGGCGCGCGTATTGGGGTGGAGTAGCGCGACGCTCCCGGAACAAACTGCGGCTTCACGCAAGTCCTTTCGGCGTTCCTTGCCGGGCGCTGGAAAGATCTCCGGGTCTGTCCCGCGCTGCCCGCTTCTCATTTGGAGCCCTCTTTGCTGTCGGAGAGCTATGGCCATCCGGGGGGGTCCCACGACTACGAGCAAATCCGATCCTCCGAAATATGTGTCCGTTCACCGTGACTCGCATGAGTGTCCTGTGGTCCCGTCGAGGGGGGGGCTGCCTCTGCCATCGTGAACCAGGCCAAGCGCCGCGAACTTATGATGAGGCAGGACATCATGACCAATGCCTGTGAGGAGGAGTGTTAGGGCCGCAGGAATCGACGGTGTGATAGCCGAGGCATTGTTCGGCCATTGTCATCTCTTCGGGGGCTGGGCGCCTCTTTCCCCAGTTGTGCGACGAACGAGGGTGGAGGGGGTGAGCAGCTTGTTGTCGCGTCCCATCGGTTCCCTGGTGATATGCAAACAATGGCGACGCCCCGCGCGGTGGGGTCTCTTCTGGATGGTGCCGCGGGTGCCTTCTTCAGCACATGACTCCCATCTATCGCAAAACTACAAGCGGACTTTCTTCGCGGCGCAAGGGTTCGTCTGGTCACTTTTCGGTCGTAGATTCTTATCCAGCGGGCCCTCGACTCTTCAAGAAACGTGGCGCCTGTCCGAGATGCTTCGGCAGTCTCAGGGCACCCTGTCGAAACGCCGTCAGGCGCCAAGAGCGGCTCCTAGTAGGCGCGTGCCCTGGGGCAGAAGGTCACTGATATTTTCCAGAGCTGATCCTGACATCTAGACGCAGGGCCAGGCATCCCTCGCGGTCGCATTGCGCTTGCATCGAGTCTTCGCTTTCCCCGTGTCGCAGCCGCGGAGTCGCCGCATTCTGAATCGCTTCTGCAGAATGGGGCCCTTCATCCGAATTTGGCATCTTCCCGCGCAGAGTTGGAAATTGGTAGGGACCCCGCAGGATCCCAGTCCCGTGGAAGGCTTGGGAAACTTATTCTCCTTAGCCCTGATCAAGCCGTTGTATTCTTTCTTCGCGAAAACGCAACGACAACCCCCTAGGGCTTCCCCATCCATCGTTCACATGCGGGCAGGGCCCTCCTCTCGCCAACGCGCTCGATTGCGCGTGCATCGACCGCTCGTACCAACCAGGTGACCTCGCAGGGGTGGCCCGTGAGATCAGCCTACCAATCAGCTTCTGGCGTCTCGTCATTCTAGGAGGTTACCTAGGAGCAGTTCGATATGATATGTGGTGGAAGGTTCTTTGATCGAAGGAGGCCTACTTTGCGTAAACTTTTTGAGGAGATCTGGCTCGGATTGTCTTGATGCCCTAGCTGCGACAGCATCTCGCACTTCACTATTGGACATCGTCGGTCGGGGAAGAAATATGGGAAATGGCTCAGACTTGTGGTTTATGAGGAAGAGCAGCCCGGCGACAGTGCGTCGGCGGGACAGGCGCACATGAGGTGGGCCGTGGCAGCGAAACAACGGGTGATTGCCTTTCGCCAAAGAAACAAATTCACATTGATACTTTACAGAAGTCGCAGACCCTTGACGTGAAAATGAACGATCATCGCCAGATGTGGGCTGTGTCTTTCGGATCGAGATGCTTTCGTTCCTTTCGGGGTGGGTCCCCAGAGTGATCGCGGTCGATGGCGTGTATTGCATGGGCTCCAGAGCGCGAGGGGCGCAGGGCAATGGCGGGCTTGTCATGCGTGAGGAAGTACAGGAAACTATTGTACTTAATGCACTCTGCCATAGAGGCAAATGATTCGAAATCGGCTGGCTTGGAAGATGCGCAAACGATCTCCTTGTTCCCAGTGCCATGCGCGCTGCTTGTCGCGGGCCCACTTTCCCTGATTTTGGTCCATTGTTTTTTCGCATCAGATCTGGAAGAACCTGAGACTGCAGAGAAGACTGACCCAGGGGAGACATCTGTCGAGTAACTTATGATGCAATCGCACAGGAGACTGAGCAGCGCGCGCGTCCCCGCTTGCTGAAGGGAAGAGGAGCAGCTGAAGAGTTTGAGGCGGCCTGGTACGCGGCCCGTCACGCGGACCTTGACGCCGACGGGTCTGGCGACTCTCTCCATGACGTGGCTGGCGTCGCGCCCGTGATCCATCTTGTGCTATGATTGGGCGGTGATGGAGACGCCTGGGCCCCCCCCAGAGATTGGCCGTTGGTTGATCCGGGGCCGTTCCTGCTCGAGGTGGCCAGGGGCACCGCCGGGCTCGAATATCTGTATTGCGAGCAGGTTGCTTCGGATGGCGAATGGCCGGAGGAAGGGCCTAGCCCCTGCTGCGCTGTTCTTTTCCGAGGCTGACTGGCAGGGCCTTGCGCGGGTGATATCTCGTGGATGGGGCCAGTGTCGATGCGCAACATCCGCCGCGGCACCCAGAGGGAAAGGGGTGGTATGTGCGAGGTGCCAGGGGCGCGGTCGTTCAAGCCGCCAAGCATCCGCGGAACCCATCGAGCGGCTCTCGAAATCGTTCCACTAGCGCGTGGACGTTCTTGTGCAGACTCTCTATGAAGAGATGTGGAGGAGCAGGTGCGCTTTGGAGGCGTTGTCTATCTTTGATCCTGGCGGCGCCAGAAGAAAGCTCGAGCTGGGCGGTTTATCGAAAGTGCCCTTGACTCCCCTTGCAAATCTGTGACAATCGAAATAGGTGAGATACCATGGGATGCCCGCGCCAACGTGACTACTGCACTCCGAAAGACGGAATGAGTAATCCGGTGGAAAAAACGCCGGAGACGAGCGCGCAAAGCCCAGAAGGTTGGGCGGGACATCTGGGGTCCTGAGGAGAAGAAGAGGGACGTTGCGGTGTCCGCGTGAGGGCTGCGCAAAGGAGCAGTTGATGACCAGGATGGCGTAGCGGATGCGAGAGATCGCGCTGCTGCCGCGACTGGTAACCAGGCCACCCGCGGTGCGGAGTCTGGGCGACGAAGCCGCAGTCACGGTGGATGGTCGTCGCGGGAACGCAGGAGAGGGCGAGGCTCCGCCGCTGGTGAAGGCCCTCCAGGCAAGCGCCATACATGTGGTCGTAGTGGGGGTGGGGGGCTTCCTCTTCTGGGAAACGCTGGGAAAATGCTTCGAGCTCCTGGTGGTCGGGCCGCGGTGGTTGCGAGAACGCTGGTGAAGGTGGATGGTCGAGCGCTGGGCAGTGGAGGAGTCGTGGCGACCGAAATTATGCAACGTGGACGTCGTGGAGCTCCCAATCGTTGTTGGGCGAAGGACCCAGATGGCACCTGGAACTATGGGTCGTACCGAGGCTGGACCAAAGACAGCTCGTGGTGAACGAGGTCGAAGCGTGACCCTGGGTGGCTGGTGGCTCCCGCGGGCCGGTGAGCGTTTTTCGGGGCTGCGTCGGGCTGCTGGGCGTCACCTCTCTCCAGCAGGAGTAGCTACTACTCGGAGGGGTTGCGTTGTGAATGCTCTTTTGGGGTTAGCGTCCCCGTGGCGAAGTGCAGTGAAGGCGGGCGCGTGGGTGAGGTGGCCCCAGGGTCCGCCGCAGGGGAGTCGTTGTCTTCGCTCCCCTCACCTCTGCTTCAACCGTCCTATGGCCTGTCGCTGCGGGCGTTTGGCTCTTTGTTTTGTAAGGCCGAGGCGCGTCTGGGAGCGTGCCCCCGCCTTTTTACGCGCGCACCACCACCCGTCATTATTTTGCTTATGAACTACGCAGGGACACATTTTTCCGCCCACGCGTCTTATTTGAACAGGGTCCCCTGAATTAGAAGAGAAACGTGAGGGTCATGTTCCACAATCACCGTCGGGTGATGCCGATTGTTTGACGATGGACTGGAACGGATGAGTGGATAAAGGGAGGAAGGGAGGAAGGGAGGAAGGGAGGAAGGGAGGAAGGGACCCGGAACTCCCCCTTCTGAGCTTATCCGTTTCCCTCCATGGCGGGGGCGCGGGCGGCAGTCGAGGTCCGGCTCGACACCTCCGGGCCGCCCCCGCCGCTGGCCGACGGGCTGAAGTCGCAGGGCGTCCCGCCTGCCTGGCGGGCTCAGGCGCCTCCCCGCCACCTTTAGCCACGCGCGGAAAGGGACGGGGGGACGGAAAAGGGCTTGTAGAAGCGTAGTGCTGGCACCTTCTACGAAGCAGCCTCCTTGTAAGGATCCCCCCTCCCTCCATCCATGTGTGCGCGCCACCAATCCCCGCCGCCCGCCGCGCGCGCTGCGGCTCGGCAGGGGTTTGGCGCTTCGGGGTCAGCGGGGCCAATGCCCAGGGCAGGCTCGCGTCGTAGCAGAATCACGACAGGAGGTTTGCGGCCGCTTTCGGACTCAGCAGGAGGCTTTCGGTCTCTGCATGGGGCACTCCCCAGGCCCCAGGACCGTCAAGTAATGGTTGGCGATGAAGAGCTGGTTCTTGGGAATGTCTCGAAAACTCTGTGGGTCCAGGTTTTTCCAAATTCAACAGGATGTCGGGGGTCTGGTGATCGGCGTGTGCGAGGTGTTCCCGAGGGTCCATTGACATCCCTGTATCGTGAGGGAATCGCAGCGGACGGCTTTTTTGGTGTCTTTGGCTTCCACGGGCTGTGTACGGTCACCAGCTTTCCGACAGCCTCCGAGGCCCCGTGTTTTTTGCTGAGTGGGTGGGGGCGGGGGGGTGCGGGAGAGGGAGGGTGGATGGAGAAAGGAAATCGAGGGAGGAGGGGGGAAAAGTGGGGATGAGGGGGTCGGGGAGGAAGTTGGGAGGTGGAGGAGGAGGAGGCGGAGGAGGAAAAGGAGAAGGAGGAGGAGGAGGAGGAGGAGGAGGGAGGATGAGGAGCAGGAGGAGGAGGAGGAGGAGGAGGACTGATTGGATTGAGAGCAGGATTAGGTTCATGATGGCGATGATGCTGACGATGATGGTGATGATGATGACGATGATGATGGTGGTGATGATGATGCTGCTGATGATGATGACACTGATGCTGATGATGATGATGATGATGATGATGATGATGATGATGATGATGATGCCGACAACGATGACTATGATGACGATGATGATGATGGTAGTGGTGGTGGTGATGGTGGTGATCGTGACGATGCTGATTGTCGTGATGATGATTGGTGGTGGTGGTGCTGATGACGATGATGATGTTCGTTGTGGTGGTTGTGATGATGATTGTGATGATGACGATGATGATAATGATGCTGCTGGTGATGATGACAGTGATAATGATTGTGGTGGTGGTGATGATGGTGGTGGTGATGATGATGCTGATGATGATGATGTTGATGCTGATCATGCCTATGATACCGATGATGCCTATGATGCTAATGATGCTGATGCTGGTGATGATGCTGATACTGATGCTGATGAGGATGATGATGATGATGATGATGATGATGATGATGATGATGATGATGATGATGCTGTTCATGATGATGAGGATGATGCTGATGATGATGATGATAATGCTGATGCTGATGGTGATGATGCTGCTGCTGATTATGGTGTTGATGATGTTGATGCTGTTGATGATGATGCTGATGCTGAAGCTGATGATGAGTATGATTATGCTTATCATTATCATTATCAGTCTCACTATCATTATCATTCTCATCATTATTTGTTGATCACTGTTATTCTCAGTCTTCTCATTATGGTGGTGTTGTTGGTGGTGATGATGATGAGGAGGAGGAGGAGGATAATGAGGATGCGGATGCGGATGCGGATGCGGAGGAGGAGGAGGAGGAGGAGGAGGAGGAGGGCAGAAGGAGCAAGAGGATGACGAGGACGAGCAGTAGGAGGAGGAATAGGAGGGCGAGTGTGCATCAGTGTGTTTGGAGGGAGGGAGGGAGGGAGGGATAAATGGCATAGGCATGGTATGGTGATGATGAGGAAGAGGAGGAGGAGGACCAGTGCAAAACTGAGAAGCAGCAGCGATGGTGCAAAAGCCGTACCTCCAAGCTCCTTCTTCTTAGGTCCTTGTAATAACGTATTTTCATCGCGGGGAGTTGCCCATTGAAAGACAACCGTCTGAGAGTCCCCAATCGTACCAAAGCGCACTTCTTTGGACTTCGACGCCGCGGATCAACCGTGACTGCTGCGTCTTGACAATCCTAAACCAGTGCCAGAACACCGTCCCTCGGACCTCGACCATACGAACCCACGAATCTGTTGCAACAGGTCAAGACGAATGAGCGGGGCGTTATTTCGAGAGCCACATTTGGAAAACCACACGCCCTCCAGCCTTGAGGCTCTTGCATTTGTCGAGCGAATGTGTGGGCGCTAGTGCGAGAGCCACATTTCGAAGACTTCCGCCATCCGTCGTTGAAAACGATTCAGACTATTAGGTCGAATGTGCGCGGTGCTATGACGGGAACCGCTTTCAGAAAACGACCCGCCTTCCATCAGTTAAACTGTTGAACATCGCAAGTTTCAGGATCATAAGAGGGTCTCAGGCGAAACGCCTGGCCCGCCCTACCAACACGGCTGGGGGTGCGTTATTCATAAGGAAAGGGGGTGGCTTGGACACTCTCGATCGACCAAAGTTGCCGTGCTACACCCCGCAACCCCGCTTGACACTGGGCGCCCCTGGAACAGGTTTTACATCGTCCATCCGAATTGCTCGCTTGGGCTCGCTTCCAAGTCTAGTCAAGTGTGCCATGGCCAAGCGCATCCAGCCAAGGCGCCCCAACCCTGCGGATCACGTGGTCAGCGTCCTTCGGCGTGCAGGACAGCATTACAAGACTCGACTCACTCTCTGCATCACGACGCCGCCGCCTTCGCACACGTCTATCTTCAAGCCACAGACGGGGTCTTCAACACATTGCACTTCTACGTCGGCGACCTGGATCCCCGATTCGGCCTGCACATCAGGACCTACCATCGGCGCTTGCGAGCTGCTCTGCAAGCCAGCGTCCACGACCATGCCCACGGGTACGTCCGCACTAAGCAAAGCAGCTCGTAGGAAGAGGAGGCAATGGAAGAGGAGGATGGAGGGGGCATAGACAGGATGATAATGATGAGTAAATAAAGGGTGATGAGGCGGAAGAGACGGGCGCTTCTTTGGGGCGTCCCCGGAGCGTCTCCAGAGTCTTCCTCGAAGCCCTGGGACCCACGGTAGAAGCCGCGGACGTCCCAGATGGCTTCCAGATTGCTCCAGCAGGGCCCGAGATGGCCTCAAGACGGCCCAAGAGGCCCACCAGGCGCCCCCAAGACGGCTCCAAGAGAATCCATTCGAGGGCTCCGAGCGGCAAAGGACGCCCAATTCCCTCAGGAAAACGAACGCGTTCAGCATTTTTTTTTGTCCTACCAGCGTCCCAGGCGGCTCCAAGAGGCCCCAAGAGCGCCCAAAGGTCGCCGAAGAGGCCCCCAAGAGGACCCCAAGGAACTCCAGATTGCCCCAAGACGGCTTAAGATGCGCCCAAGACGGCCCAAAAGCGCTTCAAGAGGGCCCCAACATACCCAAAAGAGGCCCCCCAAGCGCCTCCCAAGCGTCCCTCTGATCGCCCTCGGCGCCAAAGTGGCCCGCGGAGCATCCCGGCGGTCTCCAAGAGACCCGCAGAGTCCCCCAAGAAGCCTCCAAGAAGCCCCCAAGAGGCCCCCAGTAGACGCCCAGGTGGCCCTCATGAGTCCCTCGAGCGGCCCCCGAGAGACTACACGATACTTCTTGCACTGAAGGTGCACAAGCACTATGTATACAATCACTTTCCAGGATGCCCCAGGACGTGTCCAGCAGTACAACGAGGCCCCAAGAGGCCGCCAGAGCGCCCATGCAGGACTTGCAAGAGGGCCCAATCAGTCAAAACCAAAAGAAATCCCAACTTGTTTTCAAATCCTTTTGTGGATTTCCGACTTGTTGCGAAAGTGTGGCTCCAAGATGGCCCCGGAGGCCCAAGTGATCCCGAAGAGTGTTGCACTAGTTATTGCCCAAGGATGGCCCAGGACTGCCATGAATACCAAGCCTCAATGCGCCTTCAGACGCCAACGCGTGGGATTCCAATCGAAGGACCCGATCATCCACACACGGCCTCTCTGACGCGCTATACGCTCGGCCCCATGGCAAGCAGAACCTCATCGCGCGCGAAGCGCGTGAAATGGTTTAGTAGAGATGCTGGAGGATACAGACACATGCTGTTCGTGTATCAACCAGGAGGTCTGAAAGGTAGCATGGGCTGGTGCTGAACGAGTTGCGTCGACGGAGGTTGCTCAGGACTCGTTACAATGAACACCAGGAATAATTAGGCGTTGCAGTTTTTATGCGCTTGCCGAATGGGTTCTGCGAGCCTGGCACCATGGCTGGGACGGTGCAGCGCGAAATCACGGCCGTGTTTCATTGCGTCTCATGCGGTAGCGCGGGCCCTCCCCCAGAGTGGTCATTGTTAGGCGAGACGCTCTGTGCGCCCAGTTGCAGCAGTCTCATCCAGACCTAGGGGTCTTCACGACATGGCGTGCACAGCTGCCTCGCGCAACTCGCAGCAGGTTGGGAACATCATGGTGTGCCCTCGCCGAACGAAACCGTGTGTACACTTGTAGAAAAGAGAGGCGGTGGATGGCGAGTAGACAGGCTACGGGGAGGATGGTTCGTTCTCCAACCCACGCCACAAGAGACGTCGGGTGAGACCCACGCGACTGATCCCAGGCTGGGAAATGCCAAAATATTTCAAAAGCTGTTACAGCGAGGGCAGACACAGAGTTCGCATATTTCTAGAACCTGATGCCTTCGCTGCCAACCCTTGCACGTTCTCTCAGAATTGGCTCAATTCTCCGTTGCTACCATTCTTCGGCATCCTTCTTGAAACCAGCCATCGAAGTGACTTTATCAGAAGCCACCTATCGTTACCGTCACCAGATGCCCCCCTAGTGAGGGTGCATGTGGCAAACCAAACTATGTTTTCACACAATCGTTTGTATCTTGCAGCCCGCACTAGGCTTGCCTGGCTTCGTCAGCACGGTTGCCGCCAGCGCCCGCCGCCGCTGTGTTGCGAGCCCTAGCCTGGGCCCGCTGGCCGTGGTTGCCGCCGCCGCCAGTTGCCACCGCCAGGTTCTCCCAGCCCCTGCCCAGCCCTTGTAG